TCTCTTAACATTTTCTGAAAACCTGTTTAATGATATCGACAGACGACGAGTAAACAGATTTAAAGAAAGCAGATGGGAAAAAAAACAATTTCCCACACTTCCTCCTATTCCTTGCTTTCTTTCTCAGCCTGACTCATTTCTTATCTTTTTAAGTTCCTCACGCTCTCTTTCTTTCTTTTGACTTTTATGCCTGGGCCCAAGAGTGGGCATCATCAAATACGAAATTCTATTTTTTAATCAAATTATAATTAAGCAGCTTTTCATTTTTCCCACACTATGATATTTTAGTTATCAAATTGTCCAGTAGGTATTAAATATTTATTACAGTCTCCTTCACGGGGATGTTCAAATATACAAACTGTTGCAAAGGAGAGATCAATGTTAATTAAATACATTTACACCATTGGATTAGCATATTAATTCAGAAATTATGCTGTCAATTCTTAAATTGTTTTATTTTTACATAACACTTTCACAAAAATTGATTCATCACAAAATAGGATGTTTCAATGTGCAGCAATATATGTACACATACATATATACGAATATATATAATCTTCTAATAAAATATGTATATATTTCACCTAATAAAATATGTATATTTATTACCATAGTAAACCAGACTTTTGAGTGTTGAGCCAGGCTAACAACAATATTAGTTCCTAAACCTAAAAAGAGAAGCTTCCCTTCCCTACCTCCCATAAATCCATTCTAAGTTGGAGATATTTTCCAGAGAGGGAGAACAAAGGCTATTTTTCACTCAGTTAGTCAAGAAGCACCTATTGAACACTGGTAGTGCTTTTAGGTTCTGTGGTTAGAGCTAGGAGCAGCAAAATGGTTAAGCCATGGTTCTTTCTTCTAACACGGTGTGACCTATTAGTGGAGTGGTTGGGGGTTGGAGAGGTCTGGGAGGAGGAAGCCTTATAGATCTTCCTGGGGATTTGTATCAAAATATCTAAAAGCTTGGATTTTCTCCTTTCCCACAGCAATCTAAGAATATGTCAGATTTTTTTTGGTGGGGGGAAGGTAATTAGGTTTACTTATTAATTTATGTTAATGGAGATACTGGGGAATGAACCCAGGACCTCATGCATGCCAGGCATGTATGCTACCACTGAGCCATACCCTCTCCCCACATTTTGGAGTGGTCTTCCTGAAAATGTTTTCCAGGGCCTGGGCCCTTCCCATATACTCCAACTTTCTCAGATCTCTCACCCGGTTGTAACCAATTCCTGGTGTTTCCAACAAGGTATTCTGGGAGCAGAGATGAGGAGCAATTAGTTCCGTGCAGCGTAAAGTTGGTGAGCTCAGGGTAACCTCTAAATCCCATTATGATTATGACTGTTGTATCTGAGGGAGGCCTTGAAGGATTAGAACAGGTGGAGAAATCAGGGAAAGAGAATTTCCACTTGTAGAAATGGACGCATCATGGTTACCAGGCTCTTTAAAGTCTTACCATTTGCCATGCGCATCCTTCAGGTCATAGACAAGAAGATAAAGGACAGAGATTGCATGATTTTCCTGTGGTTTCACAGGAAATGAAAGATGGGGCTGGTCTGTGAAATGCAGCTTTCCTGTCCAAAAAGTATGCTCTAAACCTCCACATGGTCTTCATTAAGCTATAAAGATCACAAAGTTGCATGCATCAAGGTCACTACTCATTGTGGCTTATATGCTCCTTTGCCTTTGGGTGCCCAATAAGAGACATCGAGGGATGATGAGAATTGACTCCATCAATAACTTAGTCCAACTATCTATCTGCTGATGTATTAATGCTGATTTTTGCTCTTTCATAGCCTACTGTCTAAATTAAATCACCTTCCTCAAACATCTTTTCTATGCCATATTTCTTATTCATAATGAGTTGTGTGTGTGTGTATGACTTTTCTGTGTGCATACATACAAGTGTACATATGTATGTACGTGTATATTGTGGATTTCCCCAACCTGGGTGTCAGCCTCTACTTGCTTCTGTCTGGAGATATCACCAGGCAGATGGTGTGTTCTTGACAAGGCACATACCATGGGCTAATGCATAGACAGACTTCCTTCTCATAATAGGTTATATCCAATATCTGCTTAGTAGAGAAAACAAACGCCTCAAAATGTTATTTTACATGTGAGAGTGATGTCAAGGAATCTTCCTTTGCTCTCATGCTTCATAAGTCACCTTATTCAGCCCCAAATTCATTATCAAAGTCCTTTGACCTTTTGTTATCCATCCATCAATTTTATTGCATGCAAACTTGAAGGAACAGAGGAAATTTCAAATATGAATAGAGAAAGGGTATGTGGTTGTTACGGTAGGCCAGACACCTTATCTAGCCCTCTGTGTGAATTTCCACCTCACTGCTCACTGGGACTCAGAAAGATGCAGGCTTCACCCAGTTTGAAATTTCCACACTCTGCCTTGGTAACCCACCCCGCTCTCTGTCAGAGATGGCTCTAAATGCAATGAGGTACGATCTAAAGGACTGAAAAGTGATCTTTTTTAGAGGATTTTTTAACAATTCAAAATAATCTGTATATTTATTGTAGCCAAATATTGCATTCAGCTCATTCGAAAATCATTCAAATTGTGAAAATATAATCCGTAACATATTCTAAGTCAATGAGATGCGTGAGAAACTCTCAGTAAATGTTAGTTATGTAAAGTGAAGTTGTTTGTACAGCTTTCATTTATTTGCACTTCTAGTCCCCTGATGAAAACAGTTGATATCATAAGTAAGTTTAACTTTTCCATTTTAATCAGGTTTTCTTTGGGGGCCAGGGCTTCTTATCTTTTCACTTCCCATCTTCATAGAACTCACATGAGAAAAAGAATTGTGTTGCCTAAATCGACTTTTAAAAGGTACTTTGTCCTCCTTTCCCATAGGAATATAGTTAAAGGCTAAGCTATTTCAAGGAAAAAGGCAAGGAATCCTATAGCTCCAAATCCCAGTTGAGAGACAAACGCTGTTGAAGTGGTAGCAGTTCATGGGTATTCTCTGTAAATACGATCACTCAATGAGATTAGATCTGCTAAATTATGCATTTTAGCTATTCTGCATGTGCTGCTTTTTCCATTTGCTTCCACAGGATGCCTTCCTTTTGGAAGTAGCTTTGTGGCCCAGTGAGTGAGTATCTTTTCTGTTTATAGAATTCGATTTTCCCATTGCAATGGCTTCTGCTAATAAAAAGCAAGGCAGTTCTATAAAGTAAAGAAATATGAGAAAATTTCTAGGGAAGTGACGGAGGGAGAGACAGAATGGGGGAGGGGGTTGTCATTCTAATCATGGCCAATCTTAGCAGAAGTAGAGGAACTACTAGGAAAGGAAGAGAAACCTTTTCACTGTCAGGATGAGACACTCCCTTTTTGGACAGGAATTTGCAGAGTGCAGAAATCGTGCTTCCCTTTGTTGGCAGGTCAGAATTCCCTATTCTTGGCATGGCTAGGTTTGTCAAGTTGATGCTCATACCTTTTCATTTCTTCTTGACGTAGTCATTTCATTGGTTTTGTGAGTGTGGTGTGATCACAACCATTTGGCCAGAGCCCTCTTAGTAGGTAAAATACTTTCTAAAGTCCTGTTCACACTGTTCTTTGTTCATCTGTAGCTGTGTTTCTGGCTATTTAATCAAATTTTTCTCTCAATGTATTTAATGTATGCAGTAAAAAAATATAAGAAGTATTAGACCCAATCTCTACATCTTTGTGTCAAATCTTATGACTTATGCCATTTTAAACTGCATTTTTTCAGTCAGCCATAGAACTCCCTTTCTCAAAATGAAGACTTCAGTAAAACATCAATAAATAACAGAATCATGGAAAAAGAGAGGTTAAAGTAGAAAATAGGGGTGGCAGGAAAATGCTTCTCAATGTTTCTTCAAAACAGACTTTTTATTTCAGAATACTTTTATTTATTTTTATTTATTAATTTATTTTTGGGTTTTTTTGGGGGGTAATTTTATTTATTCATTTATTTTTGGTGGAGGTACCAGGGATTGAACCCAGGACCTAGTACATGCTAAGCATGCGCTCTACCACTTGAGCTATACCCCGTCCACTCAGAATACTTGCAGATTTACAGAAAAGTTATGAAGAGAGTACAGGGGGTTCCCATATTCCCTACACCTGGGCTTCTCTGTTGTCAACATCTCCTGTTACTGGAGTTAGTTAGTTGTCACAACTAATAAACCAACATTATTATATTATCATTAACTAGAGTCCACACTTTTTTTCAGATTTCCTTTTTCCTATTCCAGGACCCCATTCAGGATATCACATCCCATTTAATTGTGAAGTCTTCACACCTCCTCTTAGCTGTGCTAGTTTCTCAGATTTCCTCTCAGGATTGGACTGCAGTGATGGGTTCTGGGGAGGAAAACCACAGAGTTAAAGCATAACTCTCATCATAGCATACTAAGTTTACATACTGTCAATAAGACTAATTACTCTTTTTTTTTAAATTGAAGTATAGTCAGTTGCAATGTGTCAATTTCTGGTGTACAGCACAATGTCCCAGTCATGCAATACATACATATTTTTGTTTTCATATTCTTTTTCATTAAAGGTTATTACAAGATATTGAATATAGTTCCCTGTGCTATACTATGCTATAAAGTTATTGTTAATCTATTTTATGTATATAAAATGTTAGTATCTGTAAATCTAGAACTCCCAATTTATTTCGATAGTGATTGGGTTGAATAAACAGATCAATTTGGGAAGAATTGTCAGCATAACAATATTACGTCTTTCAATGCTGGAACATGAAATCTCTCTCCATTTATTTAGATCTCTGATTTCTTTCATCCGTGTTTTATAGTATCCTGCACACAATTTTGTACATGTTGCATTTATACCTAAGTGCATACAATTGTTTACAGATTTCTGCATACAATTTTGTACATGTTACATTTTTCCATTAGTGCTGCTTAGGTGCTATTGTAAATAACATTTTTCATTTTCAAATTTCAGTTATTCATTGCTGGTATAAAGGGAAGCAACTGAGTTTTGTATATTGATGTTGTATGTTGTGGTCTCACTATACTTGCTTATTAGTTCCCGGAGTATTCTTCTGCAGATTCTATGGAGATTTCTGTACAATAGTGTCATCAACTAATAGTTTTATTTCTTCCTTTCCAATCTTCTCTTGCTTTATCACACTAGCTAGGACTTTCAGTATGATACTGAACAAATGGGGTAAGATCTCTTTGCCTTTTCCCAATCTTAGTGGAGAAGCATCCAGGCTCCTGTCACAAGCTGTGGTGTTAGATGTGGGTTTTGTGTGGATATCCTTCATCAAGTTGAGGAAGTTCCCCTTTATTCCAGAATATTAAGAGTTTTTATCAAGAATGGATGCCCTACAATTTACAATTTACATTTTTATCTATTTTAAGTCCACTTTGAAATAACACTACACTTTTACCAAGTAGTGTAGGTACCTTATAAGAAATCATTCTTAATTTCTCCCTGCTTCCCATGTGACATTGTTGTCACATTTCACCCATTTATAATCACCTAATACATCATTATTATTATTGTTCTTAAAAGTTATCTTTTAGATCAAATAAGAAAAAATGATTTTATTTTACCATATATATATATATATATATATATTCTTTTTTTTAACTCTTTCCTTCCCTAATGTAGTTTCTGACTTTATCATTTTCCTTCTTTCTGAAGAATTTTTAATAATTTCTGCAGAGTAGGTTGGCTGGTGACAAATTCTAGCTTTGGTTTTTTTTTTAATTTCTCCTTCACTTTCAAAGAATAATTTTGATAGATACAGAATTTTAGCTTTTGGGTTTTTTTTAATTTTCAACACTAACTCACTCTCTTCTTGCTTTCCTGTTCTCTGGTGAGAAGTTCACTATAATTCTTATCCTTGTTTCTCTTAAGTAAGGGTTTTTTTCCCCTCTCTCGTTTTAAGATTTCTTCTTTTTTTTTTTTTAAGTGTCCTGTGGCTTGAATTTGACATACTTACATATAATTACTACAGCTGAGTCGGAAGGAATATTGAGTCTCTTGCTTAAAGAGTAGGTAATTGATAGGGGAAAAAAAAACACTTGATGAGAGCTGGGCTTATGGAAACTACATAGTACAGTTCTTACAGGTGTCACTCACATGAGATTTCTCTGGGATGGCCATGTCCTGGACTTGTGGGGACTTTGGGGAGATATGACTCATTTTTCCTAGAAATAGGACTTAGGAAGAGAAGCAAATAAAGTGGAAAAATTATGAGCTGTAGAGTGGGATGGGCTCACATTCAGTCTCAGCTGAGTTCTTGAACTATATTCTCGGGAGAGTTATTTCACTCCCCCAAGCTGTGCTCTCATTGCCTGGAAGATAGTACTCAATATTCATGGCTGTGTGGAAGATCATAATAATATGTAGACACAGGGGAAATAAAGCAGCCACATAGCATTGATGAAAGAATGTAGGTCTCCCCTCTCCCTCCCTCCCTCCTCACTCTAGTCTTCCTCCTCCTCTTCTTCCTTCTCTTCCTGCCTTCTTTCCCTTATCCTTCTTTCCCTTATCCTCCTGTGCTTTCTTCCTCTGCTGTAAATGAAAGCACTGACTCTTCTTATCTGGGATTCAACTAGAGAAAGATCAAGTAGGATAGAAAGAGATACCTCTGTGGCAAGACTATGCAGTTACCAGAGGGGTAGGTAGAGTAAAACTGAACGAAAGAAATCAGCTAGATGTTTGCAACTGGTACCTGTACTGGAGGGCTGGACTGAGTTGTCTCAAGGCAGCAGGTGGATTGGAACAGGCTCGGCAAATAAGCTGACTGCGTCATAAACGGAATTTGGAATTTTGTCAGCATGTCTAGGATTACACTCTTTAAATCATCTCTTACTGACTTATTGTTATTCTGTGTGAGAGTCCCAGCTTCCTTCCAAAGAGAAAGAACACCTATCTGAGCCAAAGTGCTGGAGATGGGATCAGGGCAGTGTCTTCTAGGGCCCAGCCTGGCAGAGTTAGCATTATAGTAAAAAATGGAAGGTATTGCACTAAATGAAATAAGTCAGATGGAGAAAGATAAATACTGTTTGATATCACTTATATGTGGAATCTAAAAAATACAGCAAACTAGTGGATATAGCAAAAGAGAAGTAGACCCACAGATCTAGAGAACAAACTAGTGGCTACCGGTAGGGAGAGGGAAGGGGGGAAGGGCAACATAGGAGTAGGGGATTGAGAGTTCAAACTATTAGGTATAAAATAAACTACAAGGATATACTGTGCAATACAGGGAATACAGACAATATTTTATAGTAACTATAAATGGAGTATAACTTTAAACAATTGTTATTCACTATATTGTATGCCTGTAACTTATATAATATTGTACATAACTCTACTTAAAAAAAAACTAGCTTGACAAAAATGAAACAAGGCTAAGGAGCAGATGAACCTCAGGGCGGCAGAGTCAGTTATTTATTAACCTCAAGATCATTCTGTTTCTGGTCGTCTGGGGAGGCTGTGTTGGGCTTTATAATGAGCAACCCCTTATGGGAAGCAAGGAACACTATCTCAACTCCATGTCTAAATTCTGGACCCCACATAGCAGTTTGATCCTTCTGAAATCACAGATATGTAAAAAAAAATGTGAGCTTCCTATTGGGATGGGACTTGAAAACAACCATGTTTAGAGAATGACGGGCATCTTTTCTTTGTCTGTAATGTATTTGCTCAATTATTAACATGCTCCAATGACGTCATTTCATAGAATCCTCTTGCCTCACACTGATGCTCTCAGTCTTAGCTCTCTATTATTAAATCCTGAGAAACTGTTTAAAAATACCAATGCTCAAGCTGATTTACTTTTTATGAGACACTAGTATTTTTTTTTAAAGTTCCCAGATGAACCAGGTTACACCTAGGGTTGTAAACCACTGCCTGATACACTTCGCCATGTATTTCCAGGCTTCAGCTGGAATTTTAGCCCAATTGTCTCTTGCTTTGTCCCTCGTGGCAAAGAAGGACAACTGGTTGGTGTCATCCCAGAACAGTTCTCCAAATTTTTGAAATTAAATCCACCCCTCAGGCGCTTCTCTGAGCTAAATCAACCTAGTGCCTTCACCTCACCTCTTAGAAGCCTTTCTATCCTTTTCATTATTTTTGTAATTCTCATGAAGACTTCTTGCAGCTTTAAATCTCTTGGAAGGCAAAAGACCAAAATTTAGGGGAAAAATAGGACTTACTTTAATTATAGTGGTAAAGTTTATTACTAATTCTTACCCATTATACCCTTGTCAAAACATTCCTAGAGTGTATTAGCATTTCCTATATTTTGAAGCAGTTACTGCCTATTGAACACCTATTATTGGTGTCCAGCTTATATTCTGATATAAATTCAATTTTTCTCAAAACTTATGTTAGAGATTTTCCTAGCTTTCTGAAGTCTGCTGTTGAGAAGAGACTACTTACGCATTTCATTAAATTTGGAGGTGGATAAGAGAAGGCACTGTTGAGCAATAAGTCTCAAGGAAAAATTCTGTGGAAAACCCATTTCTATCTTATTACAGCAGTGTTTAGCTATATTGGATTCCTGCTTATAATTCTGCCTGGAGCTTGTCAAATAGAAGTAAAAGCAAGGGGAAGAAATACCTTAAATTTCAACTATTGAGCAAAGAGTAAAATTTCCCCCTAAGCAATAAACCATTTAATTTTAACCAATGTTATCTGAGGGAAGAAATATATCAATAGAAGAAACTAAGAAACCAGAATAAGCACTCAGTCTTCAGAGACTACAAAAATTCTGCTTCAGGGTAATTAGAATAGAAATCTTCGCAATATAGCCTTGATTGAATTTATGGCTTTTATTTACAAATTAAACTTAATTTGGCATAAGATTGGTGAGGACACATTGCTCTTTGGGTATCCCAAATCTGCTCTAAAATCAGCTTAACACTATGTAAACTAGAAATGCTCTGTACTGAGAAGGGTACGGTAAAGCAACTTATCCTAAAATAGAGTGGGACTGACAAAGCTTTAATTTCCAGAATATATAAACAGTTCATACAGCTCAATAACAACAACAACAAAACAACCCAATCCAAAAATGGGCAGAAGACCTAAACAAGCAATTCTCTAATGAAGACATGCAAATGGCCAATAGGCACATGAAAAAATGCTCAATATCACTAATTATCAGAGAAATGCAAATCAAAATTACAATGAGGTATCACCTCACACCAGTCAGAATGGCCATCATTCAAAATCCACAAATGGTAAATGCTGGAGAGGGTGTAAAGAAAAGGGACCCTCCTACACTGTTGGTGGGAATGTAGTTTGGTGCAGCTGTATGGAAAACAGTATAGAGATTCCTCAAAAAACTAAAAATAGACTTACCCTATGATCCAGCAATCCCACTTCTGGGCATGTATCTGGAGAGAACTCAAGTTTGAAAAGACACATGCACCCCAGTGTGCATAGCAGCACTATATACAATAGCCAAGACATGAAAACATCCTAAATGTCTATCAGCAGATGATTGGATAAAGAAGATGTGGTATGTTTATATAATGGAATACTACTCAGCCATAAAAATAAAATAATGCTGTTGAAGCAACATGGATGGACCTGGAGATTGTCATTCTAAGTGAAGTAAGCCAGAAAGAGAAAGAAAAATGCTATATGATATCACTCATATGCAGAATCAAAAGAAAAAAAGAAAAATCAAAGGAACTTATTTACAAAACAGAAACAGGCTCACAGATGTTGAAAACAGACTTGTGGTTACCAGTGGGAGTTCAACATTTGCAGATACTGGCTAACATATGTAGAATACATAAACACCAAGTTTATACTGTATAGCACAGGGAACTGTATTCAATATCTTGTAGTAACTTATGGTGAAAAAGAATATAAAAATGAATTTAAAAAAAGACCCACAAACTCATGATGCTACAAAATCCAATGTCATCCTTTCTTAAGAGTTGTTTCTTCAATATTTTAAATTTTTTTCTAAAATACTCAGTATTCTTACAGTAAACTTCCTTTTGATGGTGAAGATTTGTCATGCTGTATCTATTTTATTAAAAAAAAAAAGTCTTTCCTAAATAACACTCATGACAGTAGAGCTTAAGAAAGGCTTCGAGGAGTCAGCTAGTTCAGCACCTTCATTGCATGTGGATTAACTGACTCTCTTAGGCATCTGAGTCAATGATCTGATGTACACATGGGATAGAGATGTGGGAAGAGGACTCAGTTCTTACCTTTGCTGAGTGGTCCATTCTAGTCCCTGCGGTTTACCTAAGTTACAATAAAGGCTTATGGAACACAAGC